GATCATGGTGCCCATGGACAGCCCCATGCCTTTATACTGATACACCATGTTGGCAAGCAGCTTGGAGGCAGCTGCTACCGAGATGCGTTCCTTGTTTCGAAGCTCATAGATGCGACATTGCCGAGCCAACAGCCGCTCCCAGAAGCTGCAGTCCGCTGCGCCCCCAGCCATGGTGCCCAGCAGGTAGGGATTGATCTCGATCACCTTCTTTACTGTCTGGGAGGCTATATAGGCACCCGCTGTGGCCCGAGAGTCCGCTGCAACGATGACTCCATGTTGAAACTGTTAAGATCAGAGGAAAACACAAAGCAGGCCACATCAGACCACAGAAACATCTCCTTGACATTTCTTTTTGCATCAGTGGAAAACCAGAACATCTCTTTCTCTGTCCTTTACACTTCACAAAGTGCTTCCCACATACCGGTATCAACTAAGCTTCACATTGATCCCTCGACATGGGTATGACCAGTATTAACTTCAATTTCATTTTATAGATCAGGAAACGGGTTCACTGAGATCGAATGACTTGCCCAAGATCGTAAAGCTAGTTATTGCAAAGCTGGATTAGGAATCCCAGTTGTCTGGCTCCTACTACAGTGTTCCCTCCCACCATCCTTCCCCTCAAAAGACCTAGCTTTTCAGTTACCCTCGCCTAATGGGGACCCAGTTTCTAAAACCTTTAGTTAATGGTTAAACATCCTCTCCTCTGCCAATATTCATTGCTTTGAGGCCTCCCCTCTCCTGGACCGGAGCCACCTGAGTGTTGCCTGGGAATCAACCCAAGCAGCCTCGGGTTCCTTTCCCCCCTTAACCTCAGCCCCACGGTCCTATGGCTAGACCAAGAACAGAGGCCTCTGGGGACAATGAGACAGCGAAACCACCGGGGTCGGGCGGACAGGCCCGAGGCTCCCACTAGGCTCCGTGGTCGCGGCCTCCGCGGGCTCCGGTCCATCCGGAAGGCCGGGAAGGCAGGGAAGGGCGCGGGCGCGCGGGTCTCAGCCCGGCGCGGCGGTTAGGTCCGCACCTTGAAGGCCAGGGTAGTGGTTCCATGAAGCATTTCGATCCTCGGCTCCTCCGCGACACCCCAGTTGGGCGCGGCCAGGCTCAGCCCATCGCTGGGACTCCCTGGACCCAGGTCCAGCAGATCCGCACGACCCCCGAGTCCGAAAAACCCGAGCCCGTTCACCGGGAGCGGCCTCTCCAACACGCTGGCCAGCGCCATGGCTACTAAGGGCACAAGTAACCCGCTGCGAGAAGGCCTACCAGAGAGCAGCCGGGCAACGCCTCGCCGTCACAGCTTCACTTCCTATTAAAGCTATCCCAAGGAGGAGCCATTTTAACTACTGGCAACCACGCCTCCAAAAGCAAGAGCCAAACGCCAGGGACTGTTTTCACCGAGGGAGAAAAAATAAATACCTTAGCTTCCTCTAAATTTTAAAAGGATGTTGTCATCTTGACTTTAGTCACGCAAGCAGTACTGAATTAAATTCACCTCTAATTCATAGGAAGCGATTGGAAACGTCCGTGTTGCGTAAGGGAAGTGAGGCCGGCCATCTTTGAGAAGGGCGTGACTAGTTGAAAATCCTCTCAGAACTCTTAGCGCTAAGTCGTCCCGGCCCTGCCGGGTGTCCAAGCAATACTTTACGTCTGTGCGGCGTTAGCATCCTATTAACGCGAGTGAAATTGCCATTTTGTTTAAGGGCACCCTGTAATACTGGGTAAAATACTGATGTACTCTGAGGCCATGTTCCTGTGAAGTTAGTTAAACCCCAGTAGTTTGTGGTAAAAATTGCAACAAAATAAAAGTGCTATACCTCTTGTTTGATAGCATTAATCGCCACACTACCCAAATTCTGTAACGTAACCAACTTTTAAGATTTGATATTCTCTTTACTCCCATCCTGTGGTGGAAATTCTAATAGGTAATGTATTGCCCAAAAGGCAGAAGAATAAAGAAGGAAACGTATGGGACTCAGTTAATCCACAAACTAGATTCTCAATTCAGCTCCGAATAACTGAGTCAATAGTCATTTACCATCTTAGAGCCTGGAGGAGGGTTGACACTCCATAAAGATGTACCAAGGGGTTCTCTAACTTAAGCTTGCTAAGACAAGCTCTTTATTAATACAGGAATGTGGTATATATCATAGTCTCTCCCTCTCTCCACCCACCTTCATTTTTCAACCCTTTTGGGACCCATAACAAACAAGGAAGTGGGCAAATGTATGAAATGTTGCCTCCTGCTTTATGGTTCTATGAAGTCAGTGTCTGGCCTTCCTTGTTGGATTCCAGCAGCAATATCCATCAATATCTAAATTCCACTTTCCTCTGAGACCCAACTCAGCCCCTCCTCTTCCCCAGAAGACTCTGCATATGTTGTATTTTTAATGCTGAAATTTGGCAACCCTTTCCAAGCCCAACCATCAGAATGTAATGAAGCAGAAGATCTTTATCTGCGTCTCACACTTGGATGGTGTGGAAAATGCAGAGTGCCTCTGTTTATAGAGCAGGTATTATTTTGCAGTACCCCCTGCAATGCAACTTGTTGTCCTTCTGACTCTTCTCTGTGGTTCGTTCACACTGAAACTAAGAGCATTTGTACCTCTCTTAAGACACTTTCACATTTTACCTGGCTGTAAGTGAACTTGATTGTAAGCTTCTAAAGACAGGTATTTCTCTACTACTCATCCCTGAGCCCACTGTATGCTTAGTAAATGCTTGCCAAGTGAATACATGAGAGAATGGCAATATGTTCTTCCAGCTGCAGAGGCTTGAAGCCCTGGCCATCTTCAACAACTCCCCTTCCTTTCCATCACATTCAGTAAGTTGCCAAGTCCTGTTGATTCTTCCTCTACAATGCTTCTCACGTTCTTTTTGATAGCAACTGATACTACCTTTGGCTTCTTATTTCCTTACCCCTGAATTACTGAAATATTCTCCTAACTGATATCCTGGGCCCAAATTGTACTCTCTAATTCATTTTGCACAGTACCAGATTGGTTTTCCTAAAACACCCTCTTAATCTTATCTTTTGCCCGCTTAAAAATGTTCTGTAAAATTCAGCTCCTCAGCATGGCGTTCAAGGCCTTCCATAATCTGTTCTCAACTTACCTTATATTAGTTCTCTAGATAGATAGATATGTATGTCACCTGTCACTATCTCTATCTATCTGTATCTACATATAGAGATATATGTCAGACAGAGAAAGACAAATATGTATGATCTCACTTATATGTGGAATCTAACAAAGCCAAACTCCATAGAAACAGAGAGTGGATTGGTAGTTACCACGGGTTGTGGAGTAGGGGAAATGGGGAAATGGTGGTCAAATGGTACATACATATTTCTAGTTATAAGAAGAATAAATTCTGGGAATCTAATGTACAGCATTGTGATTATAGTTAATGATGCTAAACCGTACTGTGTACTTGAAAGTTGCTAAGAGAGTAGATTTTAAATGTTCTACCACCACCACCACAAAAATGGTTAATTATGTAACGTGAAAGAAGTGCTAACTAACCTTATTGTGGTAAACATTTTGCAATATATGCATGTATCAAATCATCACACTGCACACCTTAAACTTACACAATGTCATGTGTCAATTTTATCTCAATAAAGTGGGCTTGGGGGAGAAAAAAATGATAAATGTTGTAGTTGAGAGGTGAGAAAGGAGATCAACATAGCTTGGGGTGAGGTGGGGAGACCAGGAAGGCCTTGCTAAGGAAGTGTGGATTCATTTCCCAAATACCACTTGGGTTCCATTGCTCCTCAAACCAACAGCCTCTCCTCTCTCAGACCACACCTGGGAAGGATTTTCAGAATAGATGGTACTCAAGCCAGGCTTTGAAGGATAGGATTCAAATAGATGAAGGAGAGGGGCGCCTGGCTGGTAGAGTGTGGTTCTTGATCTCGGGGCTGTAAGTTCGAACCCCACATTGGGTGTAGAGATTATTTAAAAATAAAATCTTAGGCACCTGGGTGGCTCAGTCGGTTGCCTTCAGCTTGGGTCATGATCCTGGGTCCTGGGATGGAGCCCTGAGTCGGGCTCCCTGCTCAGCGGGGAGTCTGCTTCTCTCTCTCCCAGGCAGCCCTACCCCCCACTCGTGCTCACTCTCTCTCTCTCTC